TCCGTCCATGGTATTCTCAAGCATTCTTCTATAGAATTATGTCTTTGCCACATCTACTCTTCAGCATTTACTGCCGTCTATGAGAAATGGTATTTACATAGTAGTTCAACCCTATTTTTTTTTCTAATTAAATCTTCCTCTTTCTTAATACTTTGCTTAGCTTTTCGGAAGGCATCTTTCGCTATTCCAATGCGCCTTCGGATTTCTGTGCCACGTTTTGCTCCATCTTTAAAATACTTTCCAGATATTTAAATTTCTTTACTTGGTTGAGTTTCACATTTCCAATTGGTAGCTCGCACCATAGACTGTTTCTATTGCTTACAAACATACATTATGTTTTCACACAATTAGTGGTTAGTTCTTTCTTTTCGCTTTCCTTTGCCACATTCTGTAGGAGATATTCTTTCTATATCTATCATAAACACAGTGCCTTCTGCATATCTTAAGATTGTGCCTATCAAGAGTACATCCCTGTAGGACTTCTAGTTCGCTTATGATTACCTCACTCTAAAGGTTGAATAAATCCGGTGAGAAGACCCATCCTTGTCTATTGCTCCTTTCTATTTTGTGTGGCTAATCCTTATTCAGACGGTTTACTCATTGTATAAGTTCTGGGTCAATAATCTAATACCTTTCCCAAACAAATAAATCTTACCGTGCAGTTCAAATTGACCTTTGTGTCTTGGTTATATAGCTTAATAAATCAAAAGGTCAAGCGGAGAGAAAATGATTGTTATTTTAACCTTGCGAGGGGTGCCTAGGAAATCAGTATTGAATATTCTGGCTTTTCAGATCGGCTGGAACACTGATCTCTGGCACAAGTTGATTATTTCGGCAAGGAAGTAGACCGCCATGCCAAGTGATTCATTTGATGTTTATGCGTGTGGGCGGCTAATCGTCGAAGAAAAACGCTTTAATTATACAGTCTCTCTGCTGGCCTTCTCTGTGCGAGAATTTGCCTTTTATGCCAGATATCGGCGATCGAGTTTCGACAATGGCTAGCTTCCAATTACTGATTTACAAAATTCGCAGTCTGAACTTTCGCCTTGGAAATGTGGTGCTGCGTATTGATTTCCCGTTTTTTATTACATCCTGTATTTGTGCACTTAAAAAATCTTCACTCCCTTTATCTAATGTCTTTGTTTAGGAAATAAATAAACAATAACTTTGGCCTTGGATGACACTCAGTCTAAGAGAAAGACAACACTGAATTCAAAATCCTGAGGACAAGGTAACAGGAATCACTTCGCTAACTATTAAAGAACTTATGGCAATTCGCAGATGTTAAAGTAAGTGAAACCGTGGAGAGCCATTATCGTATGCATTCTGAGAGAATATGGAAATTAAAAAAAAGAAAATTTTAAATATTCAGAATATTTCTGCGAGGAATGAATTGGAGACGTCAGAATCTAGCAAGTTATAAATTTTAAATATCCCGAAAGTGTTTTAACAGACTACGGAAAAAGTGACATCGAGACCCGAAGTCCTTTTTCACAATTCCAGTAGAGTCGTGGAATATACCTTCCAAAAGCCAAATACAGTCTTAAGAAACCGGAATAATTCTTTAGAAACAAAGAGTGCTGAACTGCTATGTAATACCAATCCACGTATATGGTAGTGAATGCTGGACAATTTCTTCACGTATGAAGAGAAGACTTGAAGCAAGAGAAACAAAGAAAAGAGTACTGAACTGCTATGTAATACCGCCTATATGGTATTGCAAACCAGACAATTTCCTCACAGATGAAGAGGAGACTTGAGACATCAGAAATATGTTTCTACAGAAGGATGCTGAGCATGTGAACAACGAGGATGTTTTAAGAGAAATGGACTCAAAAAAGATATTAGTACTTAGAATCAGAAAGAGATAGTTGAAATTTCTTAAATACATAATGAGGAAACAGGGCTTAGAGAATTTAACTCTCAAAAGGTATATTGAAGGCAGCAGGGACAAAAGAAAACATGGAGTAATCTACCTAATGAGTATGTTTTATGGACTACAGTACAGGGAGTGGCGGGGGGGGGAGAGTAAAGAGACAAAATTTATTTAGAACTATAAAGATATGAATTTGTGGACATCCATTCTCGCTCACGTCCTGAAAGATGATGTGCTCAGTAATATTTCCATTCATTGCTGAATTCTAATAATTTAATTCTTCTTTAATTTCATTTAATTTCCGATGTAAATTAATTGTAATGAATATACATTGTATTTTAATAGTACTATTTTGTCAGCAACAGTTGCATTAATTCCAGACAATTAACCGTCTTGGGTATGCCGATAAACTACATCCGCGTCCTGGGTAAGACAATAAATTCTGTCCAGCAGCAAGGCATCTGATCAGAAGGTTTTGAGGAGCGTGGAACCACCTCTTAATTGCTGGTGTTCCTAGGTTCACCCTGACCCGGGGTGGTAGCACCTGTTAGGGTCCCAGATATGGGCAAATAGTTAACCTCGAAACTGGGGTAAAAATTGGTTTTAATACCAGGAATATTTTGTAAAAAAAAATATTATAAGCAATAAATTTCTGAAGAAAAAATATTACCAACAATACGTTTTTGAAAAAATATCACCAGCAGTAGTTTTTTGAAAAAAAATATTACCAGCAATACATTTTTGAAGGAAAAAAATATTACCAGAAATAGATTATTGACAAAACAAAATATTACCAGCAATAAAAACTTTGTCGGCATTAAAATAACCCATTGAGGTTGATATGCCTTAAAACACAACAAACCAAACCAAACCAAACCAGACAATTAAAAATTATTTTTCTTAATTTTCGATACAAAGAATATTGCCAAATTTTGTAAAATAAATTTCAAAAATTACAAATTACGCTTTTTAATTAGTTTTTCTTATATCTATTAGTCAATGTCCTAAGATCATTATGTATTCCAGAGATTTCAATTGTCTCTGTGATTCTAAGTCGAAGTGTCTTTTTTGTTTTCATTTTCCTTAGAATATCCTCGTTGTCCCCATACTTCGTCTATGATATTTTCAACATCCTTCTATAGAACAACTTCTCTGTTATCTCAAAAGTCTTCTCTTTCGCGTCGAGGAAATTGCTCAACATTCACTGACATATTAGCGGACTGATATTACATAACAGTTCAGCACTTTTTCCTTTATTAACAACAAAATATTCTTGTTTCTTAACACTTTGTTTAGCCTTTGTGGGCATCTTTTGCTATTTCAATGCATCTTCGGATTTCAGTGTCACGTCTGTCTTTTTACAATTAACGGCTAGTCCTTTCTTCTTGCTTTCCTTTATTATCGTTGTCTAAGAGTTCCTTCCGTTTTATTTCTCTGTTTTTTTTTTTGTTAACATGATGACATCTGTATATTTCATGTTTTTAACATTGGGCCTACCGATAATAAATCCCGATAGGACTTCTAGTTCTCTTCGGATCACCTCGCTTATATCCGGTGAGAAGACACCTTCTTGTCAGACGTCCCTTTCTATTTTTTGTGTTTATGCTCAATTCCTTTTCTATCCGTATACAGGATGTTTGGTTCCTGCAAAGACTACTGGATTATTCTAATATCTTCCCCAAGTGATTTTTGAATCCTTCATCACTAGAATCTGCCGAGTAACTTTATATGCAAACACATAATGGAATGAAAGTTTTGCCGTCTTTGTTTTTGGTGTCTCTCTTTTTATATCCTAAGTTACATCGACATGGTTGTATTTAATAAAACAAGCAAGCACATTGTACACATGAGTATACAAACAGCGAAAAGAGTATATAATCATATGTATGTAGAGAGGGTGCCAAGAACGCCCGCCTACACGTCACGTTTTTCGCCACACCTGTAGCAAAAAGCAGCTTACCTACTTATTAAGTTTCGTGCTTTGAGAGTTGCATATTTTACAACGGTTCCAATGGCCAATGTTCGTGCACAGGTTAAAAAAATAAAGCTTCATCTACTGATTTTTAAGGTAGTTGGGCTCTTTTCATTTGAGAATTGGCGCAGAATAATCTTCGGAAATTTAAAAAAAAAAAAAATCAGAGACACAGTTACTGTCATTTCAAGTTTCACGCTATGAAGCCAACTTAAAGTGTGAAAGTTGAAATAATAATAATGTTTATATCGCTAGCGTTTTCGGATTATCTATCTATCTATCTATCTATCTATTCTTGGATTACATATATATATACGTACCGCTCTTCATTAATGAATTGAGCCCTCTGGCTGCTGACGTTTGTATACATCCGTATATAATGCGTTAATATATTTTCTTTGACTGATACCAAAATCAGTCGCGTTTCGATTCCGACTTGAAACAATCGGATGTCTAACCACACTGATGAGCTGTGATACAACGAAACAGGCTTGTATGTAGATGACTAAATATATATATATAGTCATCCACATATGACTATACACACACACACGCACACACACACACACACGCACACACACATATATATATATGAAGAAATATAGTTTTAAGGTGTGCTATATTTATGGAATATCAGAAATAGAGCGTATGTAAATATAAATATAAATGTGAACATTGAAGTCAACACTCAGAGGCGACAGGCTGTTTCATGCAGCAAACATTACCTGAACATTTTGGGAGACCATGTACATCCAATGGCCCAGACTTTATTACCTGATAGTGACTGCATCTTCCAAGACGATAATGCTCCAATACATACCGCTCGAGTGGTTAAGAATTGGTATGAAGAGCATGAAAGTGAGCTAGAAAACATGTAGTGGCCTCGCCATTCTCCAGATTATTATTGAACATTTGTGGTGCATTTTGGAGCGACAAGTTAGGAGACGCTATCCTCCACCGTCGTGTCTTAAAGATCTGGAGCAGGTGTTAACGGATGAAGGACTGAAAATTCCTTTGAATGAAGTCAGGAAGCTGTATGATTCCATTCCTAGACATATTAAAGCTAAGGCTAAAGGAGGACCAATTCCATATTAAATAAATTTTCTTTGAATTAAACAAGTGTTTCAATTATTTTGTCTCACCCCTGTATAGCTAGAGAGAGAGAGAGAGAGAGAGAGAGAGAGAGAGAGAGAGAGAGAGAGAGAGAGAGAGATTTATTGAAAAATTTAAAAATACGAAAAGAAAAAGACAAAAATTAAGAATAATTTTAAAAAGTTTAAAATAAAAATTGAACAATAAAGAAATGCTCAGTCAGAAAAAGAACCTAGAATAGATATTAAAATAGACATAAAAATGTCAGACACAAAACCTTGCGGTCATTTCAAGTTTCACGCCATGAAGTATTTGTCTCAGTCCATTTCGGATTATTTATCTCCTATCTATGCTTCTTGGACTATATATATATATATATATATATATATATATATATATATATATATATATATATATATATGAAAAAATATAGTTTTAAGGTATGCTATATTTATGGGATAAAATGCTCAATATCAGAGATAGAGCGTATGTAAATATAAAAATGAACATTGAAGTAAACACTCTGAGACGACAGTGTTTCATGCTAAACACAATCATCAGGCCTGACGATCACGTTTAGCATGAAACTGTCTGTCGTCTCTGAGTGTTGACTTCAACGTTCATATATATATATAGAAGATTATTCCAGGACATTTTCCAACTTATTCAAGATGATCTTCGCCCTCCCTTTCTAACTTTCTGTCCTGGTGTAAGAAGGTGCCTCACAAGTTTTCCGCACCATTTCATTTTCAAGTTTTTCTTCACTCCTCTCTCATGTGCCAAACGTTTTATGGATTGATTTGGATATTTTCTAATTGATCTCTTTAAATCTAAGTTGCACTGATGATCCCTTTTGTTGTTGTGAACTCCTGATCCAGTTTTTTTTTAAAAAATCATTCTCTTGATGGTTCTTGAATGGACTTTGAAGATGGAAACCAGAGTATGAATGTTAATATCATTACTGAAGGTTTGAATGATATTTTTCCTTTCACCATTGCTCAGTTGGAAAGGCATAGTGAGGCTGACACAAAACGATTTTAACCCTTTCTCTTTCTAGCTGAATAACACAAAGGCTTTTTCAGTGATTATTATGATAAATGGTGTCAAGATGGCTAAATGTTTTATCTGAAAACCAGGAAAAAGAGAACCTCAGTTGTTTTATTGTTTTTTTGTTTTTGTTTTTTTTTTATATTAAACATTTTGTGTGATGGTGCAACACGATTTTGACAATTTTTCTGTTGCACCCCGTCTGAGTCACTGGCATGCTTAATCGAAATAAATACGTAAAAATTCACCTTCCTCTCTGCCGAGAGCTTAGGGAAAAAATCTCAGACTGATGATGAATCAGTCGGGTTTCGATCCTGGCTTGAGGCAATCCGATGTCTAGCCACACTGATGAGCTATGATACAGCGGAAAAGTCTGTCTGTAGATGACAATATATATATATATATATATATATATATATATATATATATAGATCCTTTACGTTCACTAGTAGAGCATAGGGTCGCAGTTTCTGGCGTAGATACTATAGCTTCTGTAGTAGATATTTTTAATGAGTTTGAAATGGTCGCCTTATACCCAACAGCTTTTGAATTCAGAAATGTTTTTTTCCTTGACTGGTTTTCAACCAAACCTAGACAACCCAGGCTGTCCCATCATCACATAGCCAAGGGCAGATGTGTTGGATTCATGCCTTTCTACTGATATTTGTGTGAATTTGAACTCGGCACACCAATCCCATTTTCGTATCTATCTATCTATCTATCTATCTATCTTGTATGCAAATAAGAAGTACCTTTCTGAGACATAGCGTCTAAATGATTCTTTGTGTTCTGGGCGCTTTCATTTAATCTACGCAACATACTAATCGAAAGCACATACTTACCTGGTGTAGGGATCCGTCCCTGCGCTGGTGGTATCATGGCTACGACTAGCTTGGACCGGCTCCAGCCTGGACCAGTTAGGACAAGCCAAGACCAGCTATGACTAGCTTAGACCAGCTCTGACCAGCTTGGACAAGCTATGACCAGCTAAGACCAGCTTGGACCAGCGGCCCGAGTGAAAACATTCGGGTCCCCACGTTAAAAACTGACCTTGTGTCACAACCTGACTCAGTGGTGGGGTCAAGTAAATATCTACTAATCGAAAGCACAAAAATAATACACGCCTTAACTGTAAAAATTACTAAAAATAACAGAAGCACTCATCATCAAAGATAAAATATATATCCTTTAACAACATCAACTACAAACACGGCCATAATATATTGGCCATATTAGAGAATGGATTTTCATAGTTTTTATTGTAATACATTTAGTGTAATTTTTATTTGTTAATAAATAATAATAAATGTTTTCTAGGTAAAGAGGAGTTTGTGAATGATGCGGGCAAGCAGTTTGAACATTTGAGGGATTGACATGTTTATTATTTTCATCTATAACTATATAACTACAGAATGAACTCTTCCTAACACTATGTATACTACGCCTCTCAAGAGAGAGGGTCGAATCGAGTCGAGCCGATAGTAGTTCACTCCAAACCAGACTGACGGTCATACTAACACCTTCCACATCTTGTATTATTATTTCGTGTAATATACCCTCGTTATTTCTACTCTTGTGTTCGTGTTGTTCTTCCTTGGTCCTAACCTGGAACATAACAATTATTTATTATTATTATTATAGTTATGTTTGTCACCCAACTTCGTTAATTAGCACGACCGTTATGTCTTGCCAATACCTCATAAACTATTCTAATTTGATCGCGTGGAAAAGAGATAAAGACACTACTTGGTTTCAGTGAGAAAATGAAAGAAAGAAAAAAACGGGAAGAGAGAAGTTTTCAACCTGGACCATAACAATTATTGATATGTTTATTATTGATATGTTTATTATTGATATGTTTCCATACGCTTTGTGCGCACATTATGTTTTTTATTACTGTATACCTACTTTTGCACCTCTCAACAACTTATATCCCATTGCAATGGCAATGGTAACATTAGCTGTTTCCTTATAAGAAAACATTCGGCATTCATTGATCAAGCAGCCAGTGCTACCGTTAGGTGAAACTTATAAAATCTTTCCATTAAAACAAATTTTTCAGGAAAATAGGACTTTCAAATCTACTGTTATCGCGCTCTCCAGTATTGATGGGTGTTTTTCTTCCTAACCTTTTCGTTGAATAATCATCTGGACAGTTTCTACACACTAAGAAAGCTTAAGACCACATTACATTGAAACACCGGTTCTCGTAGGACCACTGAAGTTAAACAACGTCAAGTCTGGTCAGTAACCTAGATGGGTGAGGCTGACACAAAACGATTTTAACCCTTTCTCTTTCTAGCTGAATAACACAAAGACTTTTTCGTGATTCGGATAAATGGTGTCAAGATGGCTAAATGTCTTATCTGAAAACCCGAAAAAAGAGAACTTGGGAATGGCAAGAGCGTGTGGTGTGATGGGTAACAGCTCGGAATTGTTAATCGAAGAGCCAAGGTCCAAGGTCCTTTATATTAACGTGCAAATACCACTGGGAAAGGTATGAATTCATCTCTTCTCCCCCCCGGCTACAGGTTAATTAGTAAAACTTGTATCAGTAGATGATTATTATTTCCAAAATAATTTTTACACTACCGAAATATTTTCTTGCGTTTAATGTCCAGCCAAAGATTAATAAGCCGTAAAAAAAATTATAGACAAAGAGAAATTATATATATATATATATATATATATTGAACCATAAAAAATATTAAAAAATTAAAATCTTCAGACACACTGGGTTGTAAATTAATATTCTTTCGTTTTTTTTTTTTTTTATTATTTCATTTAGAACCTCGACTAGTTTCGGCCAAAATGGCCATCATCAGGAGAAGAAATATTTCTGCTTGCTGGTAGCAGTAAACTACAGAAATGAATCTGAATATATATATATATATATATATATATATATATATATATATATATATATATATATGATATAAAAGGCTCAAACATTAATGTTCCATGCTTATAATTTATTACATTGAAATCGTAAACACGATCCAATTCATCAGACCTATAAATTCAATTTTTTTTTAAGTTGTGTGTCTGATGAATTGGGTCGTGATTACGATTCCAATGTAATAGATTATAGCTATGGAATATTAGTGTTTGGGCCTTTTTATAATATCATATTATATTCCTGCTCTGTTTTGTATATCGAGCTCTACCTGGATTTTATGCTCTTGGAAATATATATATATATATATATATATTATATATATATATATATATATATATATATATATATATATATATATCTCTCTCTCTCCTCTCTTCTCTCTCTATATATATGTCTGCGTGTTTGTATGTGTGTATGTATGTGTGTGTGTGTCAGCGGGATCACTTCGACGTGGTGTAATGGTTAGCAAGATTGTCTCACCAGATCAACTGAGTACCGAGTTCGATACTCACTAAGTGTTCTTTATTTTTCTACCTTGTGCCGCGTCTAAGCCTCGCTTCGTAAAGTATGCCTGTGTGCGCCTATCTTTATGTGTTATTTCATAAAATTCATGTATGTGTGTAGATATGTATAGCAAAGGTGAACTCATAAGACATGCCAATATCCAAGTGAGAAGCCTGTTGTATCATATTCTTTATTTTCCGACTAACACCCGACCTAATGTTATCCTCCATGTTCTTTTCATTTTGATTCCCTTTTCAGTTGTAACAATATTATTTACTTATTTTCTTTTTTAAATAAAAAACAGGATTTTTTTCTTGAATGAAAATAATCCCTTTTTGCTTTTTTTCATCTTTTAATTCTGTTATATATTTATTTATAGCTTTTTAAATCGTCCTCAGCTAAACAGAAGCACAAAATTTGAAAAAAAGAAAGAAAAAAAAACCGCGAAAAAGTGAGAACACGAAAACCAGGGATTGAAAAAAAGAAAAAAAAGAAAAAAAGAAAAAAGTGAATTGGAACGAATTTGCGAAGAAAGGAAAGAGTTGAAATAAGGGAATGAAAAAGAGGAAATATAGGAAGAATATATATGTAGAAAATATATGTAGGAAAGAAAGAAAGAAAGAAAGAAAGGAGAACAAAAAAGAAAGAGAAGAAAGAAAGGCATGAATAAAAGAGAGAGAGAAGAGAAAAAGGAAGGAAAAGAAGCGAAAGAGATGGAGAAAGTTAAGAGGGGAAAGAAAAGCATGGGAAAAAGATGGAAAGAAAGCTATGAATAAAGGAGAGTGAAGATAAGAAAGGAAAAAGGAAAGAAGAAAATAATGAAGGAAGTAAAGCGGGGAGCGAATATTAATGATGAAAGGAAAAACGAGAAAGAAAGACCTGAAGAAAGGAAGGAGACAGAAAGGAGTGAATGAACAAAGGAAAGCGGAGAAAGAAAGACAAAGAAATGAAGAAGGCGGGCGATCGAAAAGTGATGTAGAAAAAGAGAAAGGAAAGAAAATAATGAAGAATGGAAACAGGGAAAAGAAAAGAACGAAGAAAGTAACGGGATGGGGTGAAAGGCATGACGAAAAAAAGGAAGGAAAGGAAAAAAATAAAGGAAGTAAGAACGAAAAAAGAAGAACTCTAGAAAGGAAGAAGAAAAGAAAGAAATAGTAAAGAAAGGCTATACATATGGCAGATTGAATATCCTTCCAAGGAGTGATAATGGAGTTATTGATATACCACGTATTTTAGTAGAAGGAGGGTGAGAAGAAAAGTAATAAAAAAAATGGAGAGTTGTCGGTGTGGAAGGTCATGTCTTTTTTTTTTTTTACTTTGGCTAACGACTTCTCTTACGTTATTTCTGCAACACCTTGCAACTACCTTGATGTAATGATTTGTGGCAACAATAACTTTAGTGCTGCTGGTGGTGGTATTAGATATTTTGATCATGTTCGCGCCGATGTTGGTGGTGCTGTTTTCTTGTATTTGTTGGATGGTTCGGTGGACAATACAGTTGGATCAACCGTTTCTAATGAGAAGTTACTTTTTTTTTATTCCTTTTTCTTTCAGGTTAAGAATTTAGGTTGAGATTCGGTTGGCCTTTATAATAAAAAAAATCCTACCACATCATTTTAGGACTTAAGTGTCAATAGCAGTGAAATTAACAGATATTTATTAGGCACTAACTTTGGCACATTCTTCTCCTTTTTGTTGTTGTTCTTGTTGTTCTTTTTTTTTCTTCTTCTTCTTCTTCTTCTTCTTCTTCTTCTTCTTCTTCTTCTTCTTCTTCTTGTGCTTCTTGTTCTTCTCGTTCTTCTTGTTTTTGTTCTTGTTGTTCTTGTTGTTGTTCCTCTTCTTCGTATCACTTCACTCTCCACAATTTCCTATCTTTTGTAACTCTTAATAAATTTTGTCTTTTCGTTATCTCTCCTAAACCATTCTTTGCCGTCCATTTCAATCTCGCCAGCTAGGTGATGCGTTGTTTTCTATTGTCCCCCTTCAATCAGTCTTTGGTGAATCAAATTTTCCAAGCCCTCTTTCCTCATTATATGCCATAAAAATTCCCACTGTCTCTTCCTAATGTTAAATTATTAGTGTCTTTTTTGTTTACATATTCTCTAAAACTTCGTCGTTGCTCGCATGTTTGCTCCATGTTATTCTCAGTATTCTTGTATACAGAATATTCTGAAAGAGATGACTGTGAGACTAACATAGATTGTCATAGAGCAGACTCCCGTGTCTTCTCCAGTCATAATGAACGGTTGTACTCTCAATGAGGCCTCTTGTCTTGAACGTCTATTGAGACTGAAGCTCACATCAGACCTCAAGATATATACGATTCATTAATACAAATGTTGGGAAAATGGTTGGTTCTCTGCATCACTTCAGAAAATAACTGACTCTTTTCACACTCTATCTTTACAAGAGCCAAATAAACAAAAAGTGATATATTGCTGGCACATCTGGGATGGAGCTGCATAATTTTCAATTTTCAGCCGAGTTTAAAAGCTTCCACACACCCTTGAGGGTGATGAATTATTTCCTACACTAAAAACCCTTTCATACAGGCTAAACTTTGCTAGCCATTCGCCAATCTATATTTCTATAACATATGTTTGGGTGAACTATATCACTTGGTTCCACCAGTTCAGACCTTCACAGCAAGAACTCGCCATACCATGTACACTTAATCGGCTAATGCTCATTTTTTTCATATTCCATTAGTGGGAAGGAAGTTCCATTCTGACCGTTTCTTCGCTTAGAACTGTTACTTTGTGGAACGGATTCCTGAGAAAACTCTTCCCCAATAATTACAATATTAACCTCTTCAAGCTCAAGGACATCCGTTATCTATCCTGTGTATCTTCATAATATGCTAGGCTTGCTCTATCTCTGTACGCTCTTAAAACAATCTTATTTAGTAACCCTCTAGCTTGAGTGGCTCTTGGCCTTTGTATAGCAGGAAAAATACTAAAAGAAGTAACTATATTCCAACGGACATGCTACCATGTACATAAGTGAATCGCTCCGAACGTAATACCTCCGGTTTATTTCAAGAGAAACTAATGCAACTCGAGGGAATATTGTTGCCTGAAGCAGGTTTTCTACTTGAAAATAAAATTTCTCCCCAACCCGACAGTCATCATCAGCGGCCTTGATTTAGACTGGCAACAAGTCAAAGGAGACTCTACTGCACATGCGTAAACAGACACTCTCCAGTGGAGAAACTCAGGTGGTAAAAAAATAGACGCCATTAAGTAAGCCCGTGTATTGCTTGACCGTCACTTTTCACAGTGACCGAGCAAATAGATTTTTATGTTTTTGTGTAGGCGCTTTTTGGCAAAACATAGCATAACTCAGGTCTGTTAGCACCGACATACGACCCCCCCCCCACAAAAGTTGGCTCTCTGCGACTTATGGCTTTTCGCCATCAAAAATGTCATCACGGGCTCCTAACAAATTTTAAATATTTTTGGCATCTGATCCCAATGTACGCGTATGGCCACCCTACACCCACTGGCTTTATTCCATGTTCCGTTCGAGTGGGCGATCTTGACTTTCGTGACGAGCCAACTGCTGGCGATGCCGAAAGAGGATTTTGCAGATAGTTTTGAAAAGTGGAAGATTAATTTGCAAAGTGCTGACATTTCAGTACATGTAAAATGTACAATACCCAAAGTTAACACCATAACATAAATACCGTTTTTCAACGGGTGTGATAAGGAAAGAGATATTTTAGTGACAGTTAGCTATTTAGTTGGTCCTCAAGTGGGACTAGGTGGCATAGTAACTGTTAATCATGGTAGGTCTTTGATATTGCTTTCATGAGCGTATATACAAATAGATCAATCAAAATACCTTTTGTTTAATGATGCTCGAAAGCACAATGTTTTCTTTTCAGCGAAATCGAGTTTGATGAAATGAGGTTGATACAAGTTGAAAGGATGAGACGGGAAGAATTCACATCAAACGAACCCATACAGGTATATATATATATATATATATATATATATATATATATATATATATATATAATGAACTCTACCGTCGGTTTCGACGTATGAGGATCTGACTACTTAACCAATTGATTCAGTTATGAAATTTTGTGCGATAATCTTAAGTGGCACTTAGACCCGCTAGTGTTTTACAAAGGAGACCGCATATGAAGCAAGTGTGTGGATTGTGGGATGACTTCATTGTTAGATTGGCTGACCTTTTAGATCTTGCTCTCGCTTCTTGAAGACGATTAATGCTAGCAGAGTGAAAACTGCTGAGTTCACTAAAACACGTTGATTTTCATTCTACCCGCTCCAAGGCTAAGCCCTTGAGGGTTTTATGAGGTATATTTACAGCTGACAAGTTGCTCTTCAGCTTGTCTTTTTATCTTAGCCATGGGCATCCTACATTCCTGTAGCCCTGATGTAACTGGCTGCATATATATATATATATATATATATATATATGTGTGTGTGTGTGTGTGTGTGTGTGTGTGTGTGTGTGTATTTGTTAATCATTTCATTCAATGCAAGGTAGTAAAGTCACTAAGACACAAGGAGTTACTGAGTGTGAAAGAATAAGAAAAAGAGAACCATTATTAAGGAGCGAGAAGAATAGAAGAGGAATCTAGAAGACAGTACATAACGATTGATATTGCATTTAAAGTTTTGAAGGTCAAAGTTGGCTGGAAAGCATAGAGCCTGAAGTGAGTTCCACAAGCGAGAAGTGCAAGAAAAGAAACTGCCTGCATTACGTTCACATCAGCCTGTTTGTTACGGGCAGAGTATTGACCATGAAGAGACTTATCTTGCTATCGTTTCTGCAGTTTTTACATTGCATTTGCTTTTGTTTTCTTTTCGAGGTTCTTTGCCGCTGCAGTAGGGATATTATGGTTTATTTGAACTTCGTCACCCACTTGAAATTACCTTTTGAAGTTGTTGGCTTTCTTTATTACGGAATAAAGTTTCTTATTTATTTAATGTTCTTTGACATATATCCTCATCCAGTCTTCTGTAGTTTCCATGTATTTTTGAAGGCCAATTATTGTAGCTTTGTAAGAGAGTTCTAGTAGAACTAATGCTCTGTCTCCTTCGGATCGGGACTCATACAGACGCTCAACACCAGTCTTAAGATGATGCACACGGTGGCAAATGAGAAGCTTTCTCATTTTGACATCCATTCGCTTAATGTCAATTATCGTCCAATTAATTATGTTCAGACTGTATTGTATCACAGGGATAGCTAAAGTGTTCATAACTGATATTTTTTTTGTGAATTCAACTTGTTATTTTACACCAAACGTGCTGTATTCTTTTCTTATTTTTCTCCTCCATTTGGGGATGCTTTATTCCTTCTCTGACTCCTAGGTAATTATAGATTTCTTGTTCCAGTTCGGTAATCTTTGTGATAAAATTTAGATCTATTGAGTGTGTTTCTGTAATTCTCACTTTCTTGAATATTACTTTTACACATTTATCTAATCCGAAATGTCATCACTGAAACATATTATAGTATTGAGGAGAACTTTCAACTCATTGTCTTCTTTGGCAAAGAGTTTGATATAATCCATGTAGAATAGGTAATTAAATACTTACCTTTTTACTTTATATACATAGTTATTACTGTTTAGTTCATACGAAATATGGATTAAGGGGAGACAGAACAGAAGGGGCGCCAGGGAGTTTCCTTGAATGATTCCTCGACGGATATTCAAACAACTGGAGGTGGCAGTATCTTTGGTGTGATTTCGGTATAATGTGGGTTTCCACAGTTTCATACTATATATAAGGAAATTTACTTTCACCAAGGAGACTTTGCACATTTCCAAAGCCTTAAGCATCCAAGTGTGTGGTACACTATCAAAAGGCTTTACGATAATCTATCCAGACTGTGCTCAGATTTCTACCTTTTTTCCTGCAACTCCCCAAGATCATTTTATTTATTAGTTGATCTTGCAATTTTCCAGGATCATTTTATTTATTATAGTTGAGCTTTATTATTATTATTTTATCTTATTTTATTTTTGTTTCTGGTGTATATTCATTTCTTTCCGGGTCCAAACCGGAGACCTAAGGTCAGAAATGGTAACATAACATTTTCCACTGAGCATTTTTTGAGGATAAAAGGCAAGAACAAACACCTAAGATCACACATATTTTACATAGATGAGGCATTTTGTAAGGCGAGGGGCTGTATTTGTGAGTACAAGTTTTTGTATTTCTTTAAAGCATAGGCCACCAGGTATCGCTTCGATTAGTCTATTGGAATCTTTTCCAATAAGTCCGAGAGTCCCAACAACAACTATAGTTATTGATGTCCTCACGTGCCACATTTTTGAGATTTGCATTTCAAGGTAATTGTATTTCGATAGTTTTTTGAAGATCTTCAAAGATACATTACAGTCTGCAGGGATTGCCATGTTGATAAGAAGGCACATTTTGTTTTTACGGTCT